GTTAGACTTTAAATAAATAAATCTCACAGTACTGTAAGGAATAGATGCATAAAAACTTGCATGAGTATATAAAAGTAGTTAAATTGAAACATGAAATTTTTTCAGAAGTGTGAACCTGAGCATGCAGAGCTTGGAAGACCTGACAGCAAACTATTTTCCATCCTAATACACATGCTGAATATCAGAATTGTTAACAAAATTTATGGAGGACTTAGTTCTATTTCCAGATACTAATCTGCAAATATGACAAGTGATATAAGGAAAGTAAGTCTCAGTGATGACATGATACTTATTCTGCTGTGGCTGGGATGCCTTGGGAATGTCATTTGTTACTCTCTTTTGAAAGCGTATTCAGTTGTATTGAATTGATAATTATGAGAAGCACATGACCCATACTTCCCTGCTTTGTTTGATGAAAGCTTTTCTTCAAAGGAGATCATATACCTGCCCAATGGGCAATTTGAAGTACATCCTCATTCCATATCCAAAGATCTTGTGAGCATTTATGTGATCAGAACTGATGGAAAATAGCATTTCCTTAAATTCTTATCTTGAAACATGGTAATCTGATATTAGGCTATACCAGTTGCAAATTTATAGTTAATATATAAATATATATTTAATACCTTTTTATTTATACCTTACTTATATCTTAATTTATAACTTGTTATCTTCTAGTGAAGACTAACGCAGTATGTGTGTCTTAACTAACAGTTATAAGGCAAATTAATCTGCATTAGTCTGATACTTATGTGAATATGCCACATAAAAGCAAAATGTAAGTTTCTTGCTACAGTACACTCATCTATACCCAGTGAACTGTCCCCAGCCACCTTGATTCTGGCTTGGGACTATTGGCTTAGTCCCATTAATCAGTGCTAAGAGCTTAGTTTGTTATATGGAGAAGTCTAAGAAAGACTCAGTGTCACATGTTCCAGGATACTCAGGATCATCTTTAGTACATATTCAGTACCATATACTGGACACCTTGGTTAATTACAACAAATACTGATGCATAAAAACTCAAAACTACCCACTTGCCATCAGCAGTGCGCTTCACACCAGACATCACGTGCATCCTACAACCATGCGTGGAGGAAAGAGAAGTCTTCAAAACCCTTTATATCTTCAGGGATCAAGTTAAAGCTCAGGCGGTTGACTTGCAGTCTTTTAAAACAAAAATTCACACTGCTGCTAATCCCGAGATTTGCACATTCCAACACCAAAGTGACAAATTTTGAGAGGTGTTGTTAAAGGGTTGTCTTTGCCTCAGCCTCTTGGTTTCAATGTGAAGCAGATTATTGCTTAAGCAAGACATATTTCTTGATCCCTTTCTCCCTCACTGAAGCCATGGTCTATCCACCTACCACATAAATTACAAATGCCTTGCAGTTTTTAGAAATCTTGGAGAGCTAAATAGAGGAAAAATAACTGGGATAGTTGAGATGTGGGCCATAGAGTTAAAAAGTTGCAGAGAGTCCCTGTTCCAAAGTGTTACCAACAGCATGTGGTCTAGTAGGTGTAGATAATAATAGAATGATGTTGCCTTAATGTTGCTGTTTTATAACTTTGTAATATTGTAATTCTGGCAGTAAGTCTCCATTGATATTTAGCACAGACTGTGGTGAGATGTATGTGCATACCCAATTGCTCTGTCAGAATGGAATAATTTTTTGCCTTTGTATTCTTGAGTGTCTTTTGTCTCAGTGGAAACTGTCAGGCAGGATACAAGATATATGAAACCACTCATGCAGCATCTTTATTGTTGAGAAAGTTTCTATCAGGATTCAATATAAACCTTGAAAGTTCTCATAGGCCCAACACCAAAAAAGTGTTTTTTTCAAATCCCTTAATTTGAGTTTTCACATTTTACATTTTTTTGCCATAAAGACCTTATAGTAAATTACAGTTGGAATGTACTGTAATAGTAGTTTTACATATTTTTAAACTGTTTTTCTGCAATAGTTTGAAACCAAGCAATTTATAAGCAGTTAGAATGACACTGCGAAGACCTACATGCATGATGTGTACTGCACATAATTTGTTTATTTCGTTCAAGGACCTGTGAAAATCCTACTACTTCAGTTTGGGGTATTAGAATAAATAGGAAGGGACAGTTCCCTACTTCTGCCATCTTGTTTTTGCATATTTCAAACATGTCTAACTGTACCTTGGTGCTTGTGCTGGTAAAAGGGATTGTTCCTGCGGGGAATTTTAATTTGTGCACATCGTAGAGTAATGATATTAGGAAAGACTGAATCTGATCATTGAGTTCACCCCCCAATGTACAGAGAAGGCTGTTCCCCAGGATGGGTTTTCTGAAATGAAATGCCACGATTCATAGATTCTTCCCACTGAGGATGACCACACAGCCTGTCAGATACTGTCCCTGCTAAATCCTGTGTCTCTGATCGGTGATAAGAAACGTTGAATCACAGGGATGAGAGAGCTCTCAGTGAAGCATGTAACTGAGCCTGTGCTAACTTGCACCACATAGCTGTGTTACTCTCTGCCATCTGCCACTGCGAAAACTCTTGAGATCCAAGCAGGATTAGAAGAAAGCAATGAGAAAATATCCAACCTGTCCCAAGGCCATGTTGTGTTATTATGTAGCTGTTGTTCCTATTTACTGAAAGAGCTGCTTCTCAGCATAAAATAATGAGTTAGGTAGTAAAAGTAATGTCTGTGGGCATTAAGGCAAGTGATGTGAAAAGTACATCTCAAGATTTTAGTATCCAGAACTGTTAAAGAGGGGTGTTAATTTTCTGGCAAAATAAGCAATACATCCTAAAGCATTCAAGATTTGCTTTTCCCTTACAAAAAACTAATTTAATCTCATGTAACTGCTTGCTCAAACATCCTTTTTTAAACAAATGAAATATACTTTCATTCACCTTTTACACAGAAGGAGGAAAGGTTCCAGAGCTTTTGGGTGGAAGAATAAGTGTCTCCAGGATCACAGGCTCCACCTTCAGTTTAACAGGTGCACTCACAGATGCATAATTTAATTCCCAACATCTTTGTATTTAATGTTTGCTGTTTTTCAGGAGTAAATACACCATTTGCAGATCCTGCAGGAGCAGCAGCAGGACTCAGCCAGCAGCTGCTGTTTGCCCTGCTAAGGGGAGGGTACCCGTTCCCCCGGCCCTTCCCAAGTATGTGCACACACCTATAACAGATCCTCATACAGTCTTACTCCTCTTTTTAATGAAGAGTTGATAAGCCCAGCTCTTTGCGATCAAAAGCAGAGCATTTACTGTTTATTTACTAATGTTCATTTACTGTTCAACCAACCAGTTCTTTTCTCTCCTGAGCCAAAAGTGTTGACTAGATAGAAATATTCCTACATCCTGGATCCTGCTCATGGCTGTACTGGAAAACACAGTGCTCTGTGTTTTCTCCCTTCCTTTTTTTTTTTTTTAAAAAAATCTTTTAAATTAGAGTAAAGTCACTTTGTCAACTGCACACTAAGAATTAATTAGTCAATGTTTGTTCAGAGCTTTGGATGTCTTAAGTATTATTTGGAATGAGTGCTGAATATTATTCTTCTTGATACATTGACTTGATTATGACCAGCATCTTGATATAGAAGTTTCTTTTTTACCCTTTGAATCAGGTGCAATTTAGGATTTTATTCTCAAAGGTTGTGTATATTTTTATATGCATTTTATGTATTTATGTATTATGTTATATATTTCCAATTATTTGTATTTTCCAAAAACACTAAAGTGTTTTATATGAAGAAAAATATACTTACTTTTCTGTTTTATTTTAGACATGTTTTAGCGGGTCAAGGTATTTCATAGGTATATGAATATTCTGAGTTAGTCCACAGACCAAATGGAACTTCTTTTATGTGAGGAAATGAGAGTATCCTCAAAGAAGTAGTGCTACAACAACAGTTGATGTTTGAATGATTTTTCTCTGTATATTACATTGTCTTATGTTAGTGAAATACCACGGTAAAAATTTATTTTAAAGGTATTCTTGAGAAGAAATCATAAATTCTTATGAGAGTTGTTTATATTCAGACACAGTACTTTACATAAGGTTAATGCTAAAATTTTGAATTGAGCAGGAGCACAGTTGTTTTTTTATGTACTGTCATAGATTTTTTGAGGAGAGGCTGAGGATGTCTAATTCTAAATATGAACCTTTGTTGTTTTATCCTATTTGGGTTTTTTAGGACTAGAAGTATGGTATTTGAACAAATGTTCCTTGTTGTCTTATGGTAGCTAATGAAGTTTAACAAAATCTGTATGTTAAATTATCTGGTTCTACTACAGATTTTATGTCACCTTTTGCTACATATAAAATAACATGAATTTATGTAATTGAATGTTCACATCTACGACTTATCTAAAATGATATATTGATAGTGTTGTACTCAGCTGCCAAGATAAATGTTTGTTTACATCTGTATTACTTCAGTAGATTTCATTTTATTGGAGACTTGGTAATCTATCAGTAGACAAAAGAGATTTGCTAAAATCTTTCCTATTTATACAAGTGAAGTATATTCCATTTCAGAATCTAATGAATTGAACTGCAGTGCTGGAACAAAATATAGGTAAAGCATTGTGCTTTGGGAGAACAAGAATGTGAACCTGAGTAAAGAAATCTGTATTTTGATCTTTTGCTTTGATAAAGCAATAAATTTATGGGCATTTATGAAAGATTTTAAATTACTATGTTTACTAACATTGTGGAATTTAAAATTTCAATCTTTAAATCAACTTATCTTTAACTGCATAAGCTGAAAAAACCTTAAATCAATGCAGTTACACACTTCTCTTGTGATGTGTCTGTAAAACACTTATATGTGCATATACAAGTCCATGTAATATAAAAATCTAAGCTAGCAGCAAGCAACGAGATTTTTATTTTTCTCAGTTTGAATATGCTTGGAAGATTTATTTTGTTATCGAATATTTCTATTTGCAGAGCAGATAGAATCACTGGCACTATATGTAAGAATTTATTATTCTGTTTTTACTTAGTTTGACAAAGGATATGCTTACAGCATTCGCCACAACTACGGGAAAGAAGGAAAGAGAACTGATTATACCCCATACAGCTGCATGAAGATTATCATGTCTAATCCACCAAGTCAAGGGGATTATCATGGTGAGTTCCTTAAAAAATAAAAAAAGTTTGAAAACAGTGAAAACCCTTGGCTAAAGAAGTTATTCTCTCCTGTAGTCTCTTAAATGATGAATTTAATTTCAAGGCCACAGTGGTTTTTCACTGTTCTCTTTAGATCACACTTGATAGCTTCTGGCTTTGTATACATTGTGTCATGCAGTGCAAGGAGACTTTAAATGTACACATGCTTTAAAAAGTGACCAAATAGAGGTATTTTGAGATACTAATTCAATTGTAGAGAAATTCTAAGTTTGCTAGGGTACTTTAAAACCTCCTACCTCTGTGTGACTAAATGTGGGAAACCTGCACTGGCTTCACTGTTGTTATTCTAGTACTAAGTCATTCATTCAGTTGTGTCTCAAACCTAATTCTAGGAAAAAAAAAAAAACCCACACTCTTATTTAAAATGGTGAAACTTTCTAAGGTATTTATAAAGTAACATTTTTACAAAGGACTATGCTTTAAAGACCAGTTGGCTCTCATTACTTGTCTTTTCGTTTGTTTTTTTTTTTTTTTTTCCCCAGCTACTAAATGTACCAGCACTATTACTGTTAGTAAAGAACTAACTAAAACTCTTTTCCTGTCAGTGAGTGAGAATTGTGGCCTGTTTATGTTGGGATATTTTATGTAACTCTTGAGCCTGTGGTGCCCTGATAACCATGCAGTGAAGTAATTGTTAAAAAAAAAAAAAAAAAAAAAAAGGAATTTGTACACATGGGCAATTAACTTTCTTATTAATAAGCTGTTAGACAATTAGGAACAGCTTAGCTGGTCTCTCGAGTGCCTTACTGCACTAACTCCTGGTAAACAGCCTTGTTTGTGAGCTTCCTTGTTTTTTACTGTCAGGGTGCCCATTCCGCCACAGTGATCCTGAGCTATTGAAGCAGAAGCTGCAGTCATACAAGATCCCTCCCAGTGGAATAACTCAGGTAAGACGTATTTTATTTGGCACTTTCATTAATAAGACACTGCTTTTCAGTTTTACTTCCTATTTGTGTAGGAATGCTATATGCAATTTGTCAGCATGTATTGTGAAGTATCCCTTGCTATAGAAGGTTTAAACCAGAATCTTGGCTTTCTGGCTCCAGTGCTCCCACTGATGTGTTGATTATTGTCATCACCTTTTATTGTTTAATATTATGAGTTAGGTTATTACTATAGTGGATACAATGCAGAATTTTGTTTTACTTTGTTTTACTGGAGTGTGATAAAAAAGGAGTTTAAATGAATGCGACAATATTTTAGAGAATTTATTTTTATTCCTTCAGTGACTTGTGGAAGACTCTACTGTGTAGTCAGTAGACATAAGTAATTGTTTTCTGTAATAAACTTCTAAAAAAATATACAATCTTAATCATCCATTATGCTTACTTCCCCTAAACAACAAAAGCACATGAAATGCCTTGTGAAATTAAGCAGAGATTTTTAGCAGCTTTTTAAAAGGTAACATTAAATTGAAAACCTATATTATATGGCAAGGGGAACACAGGAGTTGGAACTTTTTGAGATGTATCCTGAAGGACTGTGACTCCCATTGCTTGCTCTAGCAAGAGGTTGAGGCTATAAAAGGATGCCATCATCTTCACTGGAAGAAGATGTATAGGTTAGAGTTAGCTGAGACAGTTCAGCAAAAAGTTGTGTATATTAACTGCCTGAAACCTGCTTTAGGTTCATAGGAAAAAACTGCTTTAAGTTACTGTCTTTAGTTAATGTGGAGTGTCACCATTGCTTGTCAGGCATCAACAGTGTTGAACTAGATAGAAAAGAATGTGAAAGTTCCACTTAAAGTAGTCTCCCTTGGAAGGAATAATTAAGATACAAGCTAAAAGTGAATAGTTTTAAAGTGTTTATTGTTCACTCATAGTCATTCTCAACAAATTCTTGAAATACCCAGACCTTTTTCTAGGAATCTTTTTTCTTTATTTATTTTCTTCTGGTTCATATAAATAAGCATTTGACTGTCTTCCATATATCTGACAGGCACTAGGGATACTTTCCTTTGGCTTTTTTCCTTTTTATATGCATCAAAAATTGACGCTGCTCTGAGATTTTTATCCTGCTAATCATTGCAAAGATTGGTGAGGATTTACTGTTTTAGCTGCCTTGCTATGTGTGGGCAGGATTTAGCAGACGTTATTTCTTCAGTGAATTTACACAGTAGGGCACTATCTTTATATTTAACTTAGTTCCTTACTTGATGTGAATTGGGTTTTATTTTTTGTGTGTGTGTTTGGTATTTTTTTTTTCCCCTTGTAAAGTAGGATTGAGATTCATTAGGAGACTTAAATTTTCTTATCAAAAGTGACTAAGAAAAACTGTCCTATCAGCATCATCTTTGCCTGACAATGGATGCTGTCCTGCCCACAAACTGTGTGGTATCATTTTAAGTGCAGTCAGGGTACAGGGCTCTGCAGTGGCCACCCCTAGTATTAAACCAAAACAAACCCAAACCAAAACACCTTACATCTGAAAGCTAATAATAATTTACAAAAAAAAAAAAAAAAAAAAAGGAAAGAAATTGACTGTGGCTGGGTATTCAGAAATTGATCTTTTATATCAGACAGTCTTTGTGATATTCAGTAGGAGAAGAGGAAGAGGACTGGTTCACATCTGTTTCCAAGATCTTGTACACATTTTATTGCTACCACCGCTCATTGCTATGTTTGCATGGTCCAATAACATTTTCATAACTAATAACAGTTGAGGATCCTGCAGTCCAGACCATGGCTTCTGAGTTTTCTCTGATGCTGTTGATAGTTGCTGAGTATCAGAAATGCTGTTTTTTACTTTAGCTCAGTGGAATGGGTTATTAGGGTTGGATGGTTTGCCAGTCTTCCAAAGCCTCTGATGTAGTTGCTTTTCTAGTATTGGGGTCTCAAGATTGACATTCACTCAAACCATACCCTTTGAGTCTGTTAGACGTCTTGTTAACACCAGATCAAATTAAGTGCTTCCTTGCAACCTGACAGATTCCTATTTTTAATGAATGATTCAGAACTTGACCTTTCAGCTATGTATTTTAATAAATGGTATGTCTTTCCTGGGGCTCAGGACCTCTTACACCTGTTCCTTGCTTTGTTCCAGAATTCTTTTGCTGACTTCAAATATAACTTTGTTTAGTGTCTTCTCTTGCTCTATATGCTCTAGACAAGCAGGTTGTCACAAAGTGAAAAATGCCCGTGTTGTCTAAACCAGATCAGTATATGTACCTAACTGCTTTTTCAGTTCTCTCTGCCTGGTTTATCATAGAGGTAAATGTGCTGTTCCGGCCTGAGGGGATACTCAGGTGGCCACATGAACAGGACATCAAACTCAAAAGCAGCAGGCGTTTTACATCAGTTTTCCAGGACCCTGAACTGTCTGCAGTGAGGGAAAGTCTCACATTCACGTAATGAAAGACATCATACAAAGTAGTTGAATCATCAACAAATGTATGTCATGGTGTCACAGGTGAGACAGTAAACAACAGCCTGTAGTGGATTTGGATACTGGTTTGGTTTTGGTTTCATATTTTGTTTGTTTGTTTGTTTAAGAATCAAGGAGATTAAAACTATACCCCTGCTTGATTGTCTCACACAGTCCCTCACTTGCTCCCCACCCCAGTAGTGTGTTTACTGAGGTCTCAACTTTCCTTCCCAGCAGGGGAATCACTGCTGCTCTGGGAGGATGGGGCAGAAAGTTATGTCAATACTTGCTTTGCAGCAGCTGGCAGTTAACAGTCTCAGGCATTACTGGTGTGGTCCCACAGCATTCCCCAGCACTCATCTCTGATCTCCAGGATCATCCTCAACTTCTGAGTATCTTTACCCTCATCTTTCTGGGCTGCCAAGCCCCTCTTTTTCTTCATCTAAATAGTGTATGTGGAAAACCTGTGGTCAGGTTCCTAACTGGTAGTTCTGTATTATGTCTTTTTATTAATGGGAAGATCAAAATATGTCACTTTTGTTTAGTACAAATGTTACTAAAATTTACAACCAGCCCATACCAGTTGCACCTAGTTAGCAGGATCAGGCTTGACAGTTTGAAAAATCAGTTTGGGATGTTTTACAAGACACTTTTTCACAGATTTCATATAGAAACTTGAACAAACTGTTGTTTGCTTAACTGTTTCCCAGTTTTCTTCTTGGTGGGTGACACTGAGGGGAGTTATGAGACTCCCTGCAATGCTAACAGTTGTCAGATCATGTGAACAGTAGACTTCAGCTTTCCAGGTTAGTAGTGATGCATGCTCCTCTGAAGCTAAGGAGTTGCTTTAAGGAATTCAAATGAAAGCTCAAGACTTGCAGTCCCTGTTGCATGCAAATTACAGAAATCTGGAAATCACATTGAAAGGTAACACAGCGGACGTTCTGTGGTAGGCTGACCCTGGCTGGATGCCAGGTGCCCACCAAAGCTGCTCTATCACTCCCCTCCTCAGCTGGATAGGGGAGAGAAAATAGAACAAAAGGCTCGTGGGTTGAGATAAGAGCAGGGAGGGATCACTCACCAATTACTGTCATGGTGCAAACAGACTTGACTTGGGGAAATCAGTTTAATTTATTACCAATCAAATGAGACTAGGGCAATGATAAATAATACCAAATATTAAAACACCTTCCCCCCACCCCTCCCTCCTTCCCAAGCTCAACTTCACTCCCAATTTCTCTACCTCCTCCCCCTGCAGTGGTGCAGGGGGACAGGGAATGGGGGTTGTGGTCAGTACATCACCCGTTGTCTCTGCCACTCCTTCCTCCTCAGGGGGGAGGACTCCTCACACTCTTCCCCTGCTCCAGTGTGGGGTCCCTCCCACGGGAGAGTCCTCCATGAACTTCTCTAACAGGAGTCCTTCCCATGGGCTGCAGTTCTTCATGACATGGGGTCTGCCATGGGCTTCAGGTAGATATCTGCTCCACTGTTAACCTCCACAGGCTGCAGGGGAATCTCTGCTCCAGCCACTGGAGCACCTCCTCCCTCTCCTCCTTCTCTGAACTTGGTGTCTGCAGGGTTGTTTCTCTCACATAGGCGCATTCCTCTCCCTGGTTGAAGTTGCCATTGCACTGCAACTTCTTCCCCTTCTAAATACATTATCCCAGAGGTGCTACCGCTGTTGCTGATGGGCTTGGCCTTAGCCAGCAGCGGATCATCCTGGAGCTGGCTGCATTGGCTCTGTCAGGCATGGGGGGAACTTCTCACAGAAACCACTCCTGTAGTCTCTCCCCTACAAAAACCGGGCCACACAAACACAATATACCTTCTGTTCCTGAATCAATTAATCCTTTCAGCCCTCCATGCTTACAGCAGATAATATATCACTGCCAAGTTCTGTATCAGCAAAATAAAATACTATGAAGTCTGTGAAAGTAATGCACTGAGCAGTAAAACCAAACATATATATGTGAGTACATAGTCTTACATATTTAATGGATTGCAAGTAGTGTGGAATGGTGTCTTAGAAGTCACCTTTTATGATTGGGGCACTCCAAAATTGAACTGTCCCTCTTGGAATCTAACAAGAAGGTCTAGTATTTTTGTTCTGGGATGGACAGGTGGTGGGACTGCTGTCAGCTTCCCTGATTGGGAAAAACTTCTGTGTTTTTCCTCCAATACTTCTCTTCAGCAAGAATGCTGCTGCACAAAAAAATCCAAGATAGTTTGGTATCAGGCTATTTTGAGCTTCTAATTCTAGAATCTGGTCAAGTTTGCTGTCCAAATCCCAATCCTGTTTGAACTACCTCATGTTTGACTTTAAAAAATAGAGTATTCCCCCTCATTTCTTAAGAGGGTGTCTTTGATTAATGTCAGGAAACATTCTGCTGGGCATAACTTGTGGCCTGGACTACCTCTTTTTTACTTGGTGTATGTCAAGGTTACTATCCTTCTGAGTTGTGAGTTTAACCTATAATTTCTAGTAATTTATTGGATTTGAGAAGATACGACTTTATGAACTGAC